GCTGGGTGCCCAACTCTTACCTCCGTAATACTGGATCCGGCTCTTGTTCCCCGTCAGGTTGTACCAGGCTTCAAAGGGCTCCTCAATCTCAGCGTAGGGCAGCTTAATGACCCCTGCGAGCCCCCGGCACAGGACACAGGTCAGCCCCAAAGCCTCAGCACCCCAACATCCCTCCCTGAGCCCTGCAGAGTCTGCAGACCCACAGCTGACCCAGGCAGTGCGCCCATGGCTCAGGAAGAGACTCAGCTGTGGGAACCTGCCCCAGTCTGGCACTGGCACAGCCTGGTCCTGGTCCCAGCAGTGCTGAACATCCTCTGCTCCCCCCACGGGGGCTGCGGGGTCCCATTACCTCGGACATGGTAGATGGAGCCAAAGTGAGGGGGCGGGCGGGAGAGCCCATAGTCCTGTCCTGAAAGGCAGAGAGGGGCAGGGTGAGGGGGCTGTGTGTCCCCCCCAAACTGAGATGGGGAGGGGAGGCTGCCAAGCCTGGGCTTTCCCTGCTTGGCCAGAAGAGCTTCCTGAGTTCATCTAAGGCACACCAAGGGACACTGAGGCACCAACACCCTCCCAGGGTCAGCACCATGCCACAACCTGCCATGACACTGGAGCAAGCCCTGCACTGTTGCACCCCTGGGGAACCCCAGTTCCTGGGTGACTGCTGAGGTGATGCCACAGTGTCACCGCCAGCACTGGTGGCCCTGGACTTGAATATTTCCAAGGTGGGACCCAGCCAAGCTGTCCCCAACACACAGAGCATGGTTGAGGGATGCCAGGGACCTCAACCTGGCACCAAGCTGCAGATGCCTGGCTCTGCCTGGCATCTCCCAGTGACCTCCCCAGTCTCCCTCCGGGCTCCCAGCTTGTGCAACCCCACGCCAACACAACTGCTGGGAACGAGCCCTTCCCTCCCTCAGCATCTTCCTCCTTGCCAGGAGTGACCGGCAGCACCTGCCAGACCCAGACAGCACCTGCCCAGCCCGGGATAGCGGCTAGCACACCCTCCTCCCAAGCCTCGGGGAGGGGGGGACGAGCAGGCCCCCACCAGCACCGCAGGCTGTGCCGTGGGTACCCACACACGTGAGCCTGACACCCACAGACAGTGTCAGGCCTGGGGGAGCTGCAGCCACCTCCCAGCCCCACTGGGCTTTATGGACACCCAGAAAGGGGGTCCCACGGGGGCATGGTCACCCTGCCACCCCTGTCCCCTCACACCTGGCTGCCCTGCCTGGTGGGTTAAACCCCTTGCATTAAAACCTCCATTTAGTCTTCTTTTCACGCCCCCAGCCCCACCAAGCCCTCAAGACACATCTCCCCCCCGCCCTCTTTCCTACCCACCCCAGCTGTGTCTTGGAGGAACTGCGAATTTTGGGGCCCAACAAACAATAAAACCACTTCCCCAGACTCAAACCTCGCCTGCAGTGCAGCGGGAGATCTGGTGGGGTGCCCCCATCTCCCTCCCATGCCCGGGTGTCCCCGGCGAGGGTCAGGCTCACCCCGGACGGCGATGCAGAGCGCAGAGGCCACGAGCCAGCGGAGAACTCCCATCCCGGCCGCCCGGCTC